GAGCGTAAATCAATGTAATTCCAGCGAATAATAATACCATCGCGAACCCGGAATCTTTGCATGTTGATTCGACGTCCGCTCGGAACACGGAAGACCTTAATCTTTCTCTGTTTCCTGGGACAACGAGCGGACGAAATGCGTTTCGCCGAGGTCCAAGGCGCCATTTGTGCTATTCCAGATGGAACCATAACGTTTCCGAAATGTACAATCGTAAAATATATTTTATTAGCTTTCGAGAAATCAGGTTAAACTAAACGATCGAGAGAACCGTACTTTTTCGGAGCGTTCGCGATTTCATAGGATGCACTTCCAGAATCCGAACAACTCTTTGTCCCATTCAGGATTGAAAGCACTCGGCACGATCGCGTTCGTTCGAGTGTACGAGCAGCGCATGGAAAACACGTCGACAGGTATTCCAGCTGATGACCGAAACCCTCTTTTCTTCGCGGTTCCGTTTTCTTTTCGATCCGTTTTTTTTCGTCGATTCTTTTCCACCGTCGCGAAAGACGGGCTGTAAAGCAACGTACACGGAATCCAATAGCTCGAGGCCGTGCGAAAACGGAAGAGAATTTTCAAACTGTTACGGGTTCGCGATTCGACTCGAATTCGCGCGGATGGTGTATTCTTCGAAGCGAACTCCATATCTTCCCTTGGAAGCCGTACAATGCGGCCATTGTGCTCGACTCGTGGCATCGGTTGGATCCGGACACTTTCTTCGATACAGTTGATCCTCGGAAAAACTGAAAAACGTTAGCGTCAGGGCAGTTAAACGTTGTCTTGAATATCCTCGTAATATAGCGGCCTGGGGCGCGTGTCACTTTTGCTCGCATCCGATTGTTTCTTCAATTATGAAAATTGAAGTTACTCGAGCGTCAAGTGCAGCACGCGCCGCGCAGCGTCTGTTCAGCAGTTACACGAGCCGTCGAAGCGGCTGGGACAGAGGCGTGATAAAAAGTCGCGCACTTTACGGTTCGCTGGTAAATATTACCCGTTTCATGCAATAACCAGCAACTGCGCACAATGCCTGCATTATGCACTCGCCCAGTGACATATGTACGGTATGTACTCTGATGCACCGTTGAGAGTACGCGAAGGAAGCGCGATAAAAGACGCAAAAAATCCGCAGTTCCCTGGCGGGAATGCATGCTCCTCCGCTACCTAATTGTGCTCGTGCGGCGAACAGAATTTTCGTAATCTCTTTGGCGAAACTGCTCTCGGCCCCGTACAAAGTTTATCTCCCCTTTAAACGCGTTACCCTCTAATTCGGCGACTCTCGACGCAAGAGGTACGCAAGAGGTACGCAAGTCCCGGTGGCCATAGCACGTTTCACGACCTCTTTCGTTGCTTTGAAACGCAACGAAATCTTGTGTAATTTTGCAACCGCGTTACGCTGCTTTTCCTTACCTTTGTTCAGGACCGTTATCGACTCGAAGACCGTGAAACTTGTTCGACTGTCGACAAAGTGTCCGACTCCTGGACGTTGAGGTACGCCCGATCTCGAGGTCTTCGCGATAAAAGTCGGTGAAAATTTATCACGATTGTCGGCTGTCTCGATTTCGTTCCGCGACTTCCACTCGTCGGTTTAGGAAGAAACGCGACGACCGCTTCGCGACCCCTGCGCCTCGGTGGAAGAAACAGCCCGAGTCGCGACGTTACACTGGCTCCGGGCTACGGGCAACTCTGCCTCCATGGTCTTGGGATGAAATTTTAAACTACCATGTCCGGGAACTTTGTGAATCAAATCGAATTTTCTGAGCCTCTTTGTTTCAGTGCCGCGGGCAAGGGCGACGATCGCGCGCAAGAATTCTCAAAGAGCGAGGGAACGTTCGAGCGCGGACATCGTAGTCCGGGAACGAATGTTCTCGCGTTTGAATTTAGAACAGCCTGCGGCAGAGAGTCACCAACTATTGCTTGTACGAATGGGCGAGCATTGTCCGTTTGAAGACTCGCAAATTGACTGCGATGATTCGGTTCTTCGTTTTGGCGCCGAAATTGTAAGTCGAGGCAAATCTTGCGCGCGATTACGAGTGGTCGTCGTCGAAACGAGGTAGAAGAAAACAGCTCGTAAAACACAGGGAGTCCAAGGGTAATCGGCGCGGCGCGCGGCGTCCTGTCGATGGTACCAGTTTCTGAGCACGTTTCGGCAATACTCGGTCGAAGAACGAAGCACCAGGAGGTGGAAAAAAGACGGCCGCGACTGGAAGGAGGCGGAGAGATATCCTTTATCTCGTCCCAAGTTACGACCGGTTGTTTGGCAGAGACCATTGTACCACTTCTATGGTCAAGACACGTAAAGATCTTCGCGGTAGAACCAAACTTCCTCCGTCCACCCTACTGCCTTCTCGTGATCTCTTCCGGAGAGACGAACGACCGTGACGTCGAAGTAAATAAGATTTCGCATCGTTCTCTTTTCCTTTTCTTCGTCGGGAAAGCAGCTCGATCGTTCGTCGACCATTGGCAATGAAAAGTCCCTTGGCATGCGGTGGACCGACCGAATGTTTGGAGCTGCATTGATTCGCGCGTTGAACGAATATGTTTCGTTGACAACGTTCGCCGAGGCAGATCGTATCGGAAGATTCTTCTCGATTTGTAGATAACGATTTATAGATCGTGCAACATTCGCGCCAATACGGGACAATTCTCGGACAACGTTTTCGTTTAGCCGCGAAAATCTACACGCAACGATTTTCCGCAGTGGAAACGCGACACGCCGACAGCTGACGCGCGGAAAGCGCGTACTCGCGTGGCCGCACATCCAAACTTTATCGTGGTCGCGTGCGATCGTGAATCATAATGCGTCGCACGATTACACACTACGCGCCAGGCTATTTGGCGTTACCACACTCGTAACGCATTACCGCCCAAGTGTGTCCGTCAATATGCCGGTGAACTGGATTATGGCTGTATCCGTGGCGATGCTTTATCGTTTTCCACGACCCGACGCTCGCGTGCTCGTTTCCTCGCGGAAATAAAACGCTCGACCCTGCTGCCAGACGCTTTTACGACGAATACTCCGGCTTCGTATGGATTAGAGTGTGCTCGCTCGGTATCGGTCGCATCGAATTATTTCCCTTTTTTATCCTCGCGATTTCTCGCGGGAGATTCTCCCGTACTCGACATCGCTTACGCCACCGCGTTCTCCTCGATTAAAATTGTTTAGGATTCGACGCCTCGATCGACCACCTTTAGCCCGCGAACTTTATCGAGCCACCGTAGAATATTATTTATGCGTTTGTTTACGTATATTTGCGTTTCGTGCTGCAGTCACTCATCGCCAGGGGTAAATCGCGATTAATCGCAGTTTCACGGACGGTCGCGTAAGTCGCGTTATTATTGTAACGGTGTAGTTCCCGCTTACGTATTACATACATACGTGCCTCATATCTCTGCTAGTTACCGCTGTCGGAATGGCTCAATACGCGACACGATTGTACGCTGCACACTCGTGCTTTATCGCGCGACTATAAATCGGCGACACGCTGGGGAATAAGAAACTCCGCGTTCGATACAAATATTCTCGTTACGATAACCTTTTGTGGGATATTCGCGCCACGCCGGCAACAGAATCGCGCGGATCCTTCCGCGTGGAAGAGGAAATACGCTTTGCGTTTCGAGCGACCAAGTTCTGAATCTTAAGGGGTTACATGCATTACTCAACTTTCAACAAGCTTACTTTACTCGTGGCTTCGTTTGACATGAATCTGCCGGGACACGCGAAATGGAACGGGATTTTGCTTCATCCACTTAAAATAACGTCGGATTATAAAACCACGGGAAACGCGAAAACGTCCAATGAAAAAGGTTGCGCGGAAAATGAAGAATAATGATCGAACGAAGCGAGATGGAGGAAGGTTTACCATTTTCACGGCTAACAAAGCGAAATGCAAATATTATTCCGCGATCTCGATCGCAGTGTCATTTCTGAGTTTAACCTAATTGAAATAAGGGAAACGAAGTTGCGACGGAAATGTTCTGTTTCCTCGCGGTGCTCGTGGACCTGACGTCGTTTCGTTTCGTTCCGTTGTAGCTGCTACACGAAATAAATTTACATCTGCGACAAAAAGCGAACGGTTCCATCGTGGAACGTTGCAAACTTCCACGATGCACTCACACGAGCTGTTAAACATTCATGTTTGCTCGCACGCATGAAATATTTCGCGGTTGGAAAGTTTCTTTTGGTGTCCCGTGGCCTACGTTACTCTTCGTTTCGCGACTACAAACGATAAGAATGTTGGTTGTTATCGTTCGTAACGTTTCTCGGAATATGCTCGGATAGTTGGGTTCTCGGAGACGAAGGACGGTTAGATTTCCTGTATAAAAACAACGTGCGCGTCGAAGAGCATTTGTTATATTTTGTTAGCCTTTCGCTACTCACGAAAGTTAGACTTCTCGCTTCGCCGAGGACGGATAATCGCGGAATATCTCGAGTACAGTATCGGAAAGAGATCAGCCGATGAAAATATGGTCGCAGAATCGTAAAAACGAAGGTCGGAAGTGAGAGTCCTTACGCGGAGCGGCTCGAAAGAACAGCGCTCAGTTATTAAACGGCTCGAAATCGATTTACGATTCGATGGAGATCCGTCTATCTTCCGAGAGCATCGCGAACAGTTACGCGGACGACTGCGATGAGTGCGATCTTTATATATAAATGTGCGAGATAGTTAATTTTTTTACGTCTGTTCCGAATGGTAGCGAACGTTTCGTAATTAATTACCGAAGGTGCTGTTGTTCCTTTATCGACTTCCATTTCGCGAGTGGCTCGTAAAAATCCGTTCGAGTTCTCGCTGTCTTTCCGTCTCTTCCATTCTTCGTTTTTTTATCTTTCCTATCTCGTTTTTCCTTCTGTTATCGAGTCGTTCTTCACCGGTTGTAACTGTAAATGAATTGTAAATGAATAATTTCGAATGGCAACGTAGCTGATCGCGATCAAAAGTTCCCTCTTCCCGTGAACTTTCTTTACCTCTGTTCTATATCTAACGGTGCAATGTTTCTGCTTTCAGGATCCGACATCAAAGTACCAGTTGCGATACTGAACTGTCTTTACGCGCGTCAATTGTGCTTCGAGGACCCGTCTTGCAGCGCCATTTTAGAAATTCTACCAAGGGTCTGCGGTCCAGAATTGGGTAAGCAATCGAATCTATGCTTTCATTTATTCAACGTAAATCAAATCCTTGATGCTGGATGATAAACGCCGTTGTTACCGCTCGCGTTAAAATCATACTAGAGATATCGGTGTATTTGAAGTGATGCAATTTCAACGACTACAACTGCATATTCGCCAGAAGTGCGAAGATGCAAAGCTCGAAATTCCGGATGTTTCGTTCGAGCACCGAACCAGTTTTCTCCGACTCGATTCCACCTCAAAAATTCACCAACACTCTCGCGTATTTTTCTTGTTTTAAATAATTGCTCTCGAGGGAACGATTGGTTCGGGCCATGGGTTCGCAAAGTCGAAGGGCGAAGGGCGTCGAGCAGAGGCTGCTTTCCCTTCCTCCACGTAACGAGAAGCGGAAAAACGAGGCCGACCAGGGACACGGTCGACGACCTCGTTTTTTCGCACTTCTTCTTCGCCTGCTCTTCGCCTAGTCGCGTTTCTTTTCCCGTGGATTCTTTTTTTCCTTCTTCCCGTTGCATCCGCGTAGCGATGGAAATCGCGTTACGCGCTGCAACGGTCGGCTAGGACGTAAATTGTAAATTATTCTGAAACCCGCGCTGATAAGCCTAAGGCCCTTTCACCCACACCGATGATTGAGGAATATTTTTTGTTCGATCGATGGATCTCTTTGGCGATATTCTGCGATTAACGTCGTCATCGGGAGCCTTTCCTTTTCGATACATTTCTCAACGGCGCTAATGAATTTCGCGATATTCTCTCGGGTCGATGAAAGTGGAACACTCTGTGTTGCGGGTGGTCTGAAGGCGGGTCAAGCTGCCTCTCGTTGTTCCTTCTTCTCCGTGCTAATAATCTTTCGTTATTAGCGCGGAAAACAACGAACGGCTTTGCTGGAAATACTTTTTTGATTCGATTAATTGTCGCTGCCTCTCGAGATGATCTTGTTACGAGCCAAAAGCAGATGGTCATCCCGCGGAATGTTTCCTGACTTGGCGTATCGAGAACCGATAACGATATCGGGAATCAATATAATCCGAAGGAAATCTCGGATGAGTCTTGAGTAATCCGATACTAATATTCGGAGTGCCTTTCGAGTGTCGTATTATATCAGCGATGCTCCGACTCCGTCGAGCAATTGTGCGATTCTTGAACGAACCGCTAGCGCGCGTATCGCCGAACGAGTAATTAGATCTGTCTGCTACCGGATTCAATTTCAAACTTTCTGAATTTTATACCCGCGCTCAATCAAGTGTTCCCCTTTACGAAACGCTTTTTACAAGCTCGGTGTTTTGCGCGGCCACGTCGGTTGTGAGTTAAATAACTGCGTTACCGGTGTTCACGCGCGACACAGAATTAAATTTCAATTTAATGAACGAAAATCACGGCGCAAATATAGCCGCGACTCGATTCCGGCGTTGAGACAAGCGAAAGGAGAAGATCTCGAATCGAGTTAGTCCAGTTCGGTGAAAGTAAAATCGAGGGGAGACCGTTAATACGTGCTCTCTCGTGCGCGAATCGGGATAAATGAGATCAATTCGTATTTAATTTCCCGATTAAACGAAGTTTGGGAGCCTGATATTATCGCGGTTCAAGCGTAGTCGTGCACCGAGAGAAGAGAATGCTTTGTGAAACATAACCGCATTATCCTGAGAAATTCTCATCGTTGATAGCGCGTTATTAAAAAATATTGCGCGCGTTTTGACACTTTTTCGACACTTGCGACCGTTGGTGTATTCGTTGAAATTGATGTACCGTTTGCAGGAAAAATTGAGCATTGCATTGAGATTTATTATTCAAGCGCGATTCGGTGCCGCGAAATTCCGATCCGCGCGACGCGACTGTCGAAAAATCCACATCGTTAGAAGCAAGGTCGTTATTGTAAATAAAAAAAGTAACGTTAAGAGGTATCGTGCGCGCGATCGCGGCGTAGCGTTTGCCGAGAAAAACGGTTTATTTTCCGGATGGTAGTTCGGCGAATTAATTAGTACGTTTTCTCGTGGCCAAAAGCAGACGATAAAGAAATCGCGGCAAAATGAACAATCGACTCGATACAGCCGACGCACCTCGAGGAAACGACGAAAATTCGCGTCGAACTATCTCGCACATCCTTCCGCGCTGGTCAAACCTTTAAATTAGGAACTACTATTTTTCTTGTAAACTTTGCCCTCGACGTCGATATTGCTTTGTCTCTCGCGGAACGAAGTTTCTACGCGAGAAATAATCTCGAACAATTTGAAAGCGTCGAGAGTATTTCCGAGTCCGAGTCTCTACGTTTCCGCGGAAAACATCGATGAAAGTTTTTTCAAGCTTCGAATGCTCGTTGTGTCGCGTTTCAAAGGTTTCGATGGGACAGACGTCGTTGAGTTTCAATTTAATCCCGCGCGGAGGATCAATCGGTGGTTAGCTGTTCGATAAACCACAACTATCACGAATACGGTGAGTATCGCTGGGAAAGTGGTCGAAGTAAACGATTTAAAGGTGCAGCGAGGTTACGAAGCTCGTTTCGTTCGTCGCCAAGAGATGTACGTTTGGTTTTTTTTCCTTAGGACAGATTCCGTCTCTTCGCAGGCCTTTTTAAAGGAACCTTAGAAGCCGGGAAACGTCGGGTTCGAGCCGATTTTTAATACACAATTCTCCCACGCAACGTACCCGCTCTGTTAGCAAAATTACAATCATTTCTAACGCGTGGTTGAGGAATATTACGCGACAATAGGAATATTAACCATCGGCGATTCGGACGTGCCACCAGGATCGTGTAACCGATTATAAATTTGGTAATAGGTCTCCCTTTGCTATCGGATTATCGCGTTACCAGGCGTGATGGCAACGGCTACAGAGAAAGCGGTTGTTAATAATACACTTAGCAGAGAAATTTCTGGTTCGTCGATTTCATCGACAACGAGAGGGAAGTCCACGCGGGTTTCGTACCGTGTAATTTCGAGATTTAAAGGCGAAAAGATCGCGCGGATAAGAAAGAAGAAAACGCATCGACTGCGGAAATCGTATCGCAAGGCGGATCGCGTAAATTCTTCAACCTGAGGATTCCAGGAGTCTGATCATTTTCGGAGCACCCCATGGGAAATTCGAGTGAAAGGGAACCGGTGTCTACTTTCACCTTTTTCGAGCGAACCTTTCGATCTCTTTATTCGATAAATTTGTGTTTTCGCGTAATTACAAAATTATCGTTTATACGCGCAAAGCCGATCCGCACAGAGATCCGAAGGCATTCAGCCAGTTTTTGTACACGCGCGAGCAAATCCCGAGCAATTATTGTAAATTACGCTAAAATTACGATTCCCAGACGCGATATTGCAACGTTTATACTGTTGGCGCACGTTTGTTCGTCGGATTCGCCGATGGACGTTCAACGAGCTCATAATCATCCGTCCATAAACAGTGCGACCGCCGGAACGTGAATCGAGATATCGACCGGCGAGGCTTCCGGTTCGCAGTCCGCACCAGCCAAAATTTCGGCTATGGAACGCGCGGAGGCAGGTCAACCGGAAGCCGACGATATACTCGACGCATTTCCGACCGTGTCACCGGTGTCCCTTAGACTGGAAAGCTTTTCTTCGAAAATGCAGCTTCGAGCGCCATGGATGCATATCCGCGTTCGTCGATTTTTTCGATCTACCGTGGGCTCCAGACACGAAATCGACGATTTGTTATCGACGCGGGCGGAACAGCCTCGATAACGCGAACGGAAACATCGGATACTGGCGGTTTTCTAGATCGTTAACATCCTCCGAACAACCGTTGTAGGTGGCATAATCTGATCCGCGACCCTTATTTCGCGCGGTAGTACCCCATAAGACGAACATTGTCGGCCGCGGCAAACGCCCATTTCATCCGAGCTTTATCGATGGAAACGATCATTGGGTAGCGGAAAATCTCTCGAGATAGCGCGCAGCTATTTCGTAAACTGTTCTTTAACGTTTATCTGACGTTAACAGGCGATCCGTCCTAAATAATCCGAGCTCGCCGATCGAATATTTATAATAACGCTCGAGTAATTGTCGCGAAACGATCGTCGCACACGAATCATTGTTTATCCATTTACAAGCTATTTTACATCGTTCCTTTTACATCCAGTTTACCCACGTTTCGTGCTATTTTAATTTGCGAGATCGCTTCGTCGTTACGTTCCCGTTGATTATTAAGCGCTTTTATTTCATCCAAAAATAACGATTCGTTACCGAGCGATGCAGCGTATCGCGTTGCGTCGCGTCGCGCGGAAATAATTCCAGATTCAACGAATTTTTAAATTCAATATTTCTTCGAACGTGATACGTATCGTGAAATCATTATATCTCGTGGATATCCCGTTGGTCCATTTTCGGGTCTCGCTAATCCGCTTCGCTCGAAGAACTCCGTTTCCCAATAGGATTCCGTTCCGTGGCGTTCACCTTTTGAAAATAAAGCGCAATCGAATCGTCGTCGTCTCGCGCTCAGCTAGCGATTGGAAATTTTCTGTCAAATTTCGCTGAATTTTAGAAACGGATGTCATGTTGTCCGGGATGAGAGACGTAGTAGGTATTTCGAGTTCTCCGAAGCGTTCGGGATCCATGTTTCTTCGAGGATCGAACTGTATTTCGACACCCATGGTTCCAATGAAAAATTGACTCGGACAAGAGACAGGCGCTCCGAAGCGTAGCCACGGTTTTCGGTAAAATACGGCGTTTAAATGGAATTACGAGAGCCGGCGGATTAACGCGCGAAGCTAAAAATCCCTCTCGGCGGCCGACAATGAAAACGAGGAAAGTCAGCCTCGTTATCGCGTTATCGTACTCGGAAAGGCCGGTGACAAATCGGCTAGCGAGCATTGCTTTCGCTGGCGCATTCGGCCATTTGGGACGACAGGAAGGATTCAGTTTCCATTTTCCTGTCTGAAGTGAAATTTCGCGAACGTGCCTTTGGAGTTTCCCGAGGTTGTGCGACTGACAGCCGGCCTGCTGGAGGGGTTGTCCAGCGAATCGGTCGAAAGAGGATGCGTGGTAAACCGGGGGTGGA